GGGCGAATGTTCTAGTTCTTACTAGATATAGGGTAGGCTGGTATATAAAAGGAGGGGAATGTAATGTCTGGGTAGATAATGAGTAATTGATCTGCGGTCAGAAGTATTATTGACGTTCGTTTGTTTAGCGCGATTGTTGAAGTTGAGTGTATCGGTAAAGTTGTATTAGGAAAGAATAAACCAGTTTTATTAAGTAAAGAACTTGTGTCGCTAAAATTTCGTCGGAACGAAGTTACGAAAAGTTAATTAACAAACGGAGACGTAACAATATCTTCCATAATCTGGCAGCACTGGATCTCACTGGATGTCAAGATATTGTAAAAGGCCTATAAACGCGTCATAACAGCATATTAAAAGTGGATGTGTTAATGTCATGTTTCTGTAAGTACAATTTTAGGGTTATTGAATTGCTGTATTCATGTCACCTCCAATATTTAGGTTCTATAACGCCGTAAGTTATGGGCCTAATAATTGATTTTTGTCGCGATTATGCCTCATGGTTCTGAATTTTTTCGTCAGCTTTGGCACTTAGACATTTTAAATCATAGCATCAACTTAGGTAAAACTTCGAGGGTATCTTTTCTGAAATTATTTTAAAACTAGATTGTGTTCAACAATAATTACTATAGCGTGAACGCCTTTTCTAAGCTAGCTAACATGATTATAATTAATTATACTTTTCGTAAGACATTAGTGTTAGGTCTATTATATTTTTTAACATTACCTTCTTTATTCAATCCTTTAGGGTTTTCAAGAAGAAAAAGCGTGTATGGTAGTAATTTAAACATACTACGTCCGCCATGTTCATTGCCGACGACGCATTTTGCTTAGTACAGAGATCAGGAGGCTGCCTGAACACAACAAACACAGTAGTGATCAGAATACTATTTATGTAAGCCAGTTGTTATAAAAAAGTATGCATCATAGGCCTAAGACAACCTGACTTTTTCCACCATTAGGTGACATGGTTTTATCATGCCACATATGGGATGTTTCTTGGACCGAAACCACTCCTGCTAGAAGAGGAAGAATATTGATGTCATACATGAACAAAAACGCATGATTAATCAACACAGAATGATGATGTCTTTGCTACAATAACAGATCAAGCTAGATAATGAAAGAACAATCAGGACTTGTTATGTCATGGTAGAGTGTTGTACATTGCCTAGTGCTCTGTTTTTTCTTCTTGTGATCCTATCCATGGATATATATCTATAATAAATAAATAGGAAATAAGCGCTAGTGCCTATAAGAGCCAGGATAATTCGTGGTTGGGTACTTCTGGAATGATAAACTGACCAGGAATCGCGATGATACTGTATTCCATATTTACACTATATTGTTATGTTGCTTGTGTAGTAATTGAATTGCAAGATTTATAGTCCAGTTTACAATTTTGTCTAATGTTTCTTGTGCCACTCAGTTTATTGTTCTGTGTTGAATGATCTTTGTCATGGTATTTGAGAATAAACACTAAGAAAATTATACTCAGCCACTATATGTTAGTATATATGCACAGTTGGTAAGAGCTAGTTTAATTTGTTAAAATGGTAATAAAGTCTATACATTTTGCTGCAACAGAAAGGAAAGTTTAAGTTTTAGATTGTGAGTGTGATATACTTACAATACACATTAGTGATTCTGAGGAAAGATCAAATACTATATTTTTGCAGTATAATGCCATGTGATAGTCATACTGAAAATAAGCTTTTATCTAATCCTTAACTTATGTTGTTCAAACGAAAGCTTCAAATAGTACCTTCATTTATGAGCGTCTCCCTAAAGTTGTGTGTTTGAACAGCGCCTGTTTTTTGGTTCGGTGACCTAGATGTCTCTTTCTCTCACTCAATGATCCATTATCACATGCAACAAGGCGAAAAAAATAGATATGCTGAACTGCTGAGTAGGAATACCACTAAAATATTTCTGAGTTACTCCAATAAATCTCTCCTTTTGACAAGGAAGTTCGTTAAGTCAGTGATTCAGGCCAGAAATATCAGGGGAGAGGTGTTGCCTGTAAACACTTTGACTGCTATCTGAAACACAGCTATATTGCTTCATCATACCTTATTGACATTGTAGGATCCATAATCTATCAACAGGGACTTCAACCAAAATTTCAGTGGAGTTTCATTCCAAGACAGTGATACAACGCTGACATCAGTACTAAGTTTAGGTTAGAAGATGGACCTCTATCTGAACTTTTACTCTTTGAGAGAAAGATCCACGTAGAAGAAAGAGAGGGTGGCTTCATGGCAGCAGAAGAGCTTCACTGGATCCCACAAAAATAACTAACTCACAGGAGAAACTGGTCTGGGTCAGGGGCGGATTAAGGCGAGGGCTATTGGGGCTGTGGCCCCAGGCCTGGACTAAAAAAAGGCTCATTATAAAATTAAAAGACCTGTCTTCATTTGTTAGGAAAATGCTCAATGAAAATCATTCGACTGAGTTTACTTATTTTTGAAGGGAGAGAGTGAGTTTGTGAGTGAGGTGG